CCACTGCACTCCAGTCTGGGTGACAGAGTGAGATTCCAACTCAAAAGAAAAAAAAGAAAAGAGAAACAAAAAGAAAGACCGCGTCCTAATACGATGTACCTAGGACACAGCATCAGTATTCTAGGCAAAATGCTTATCCTGAATCTCCTCATGAGGAAGTTTGGCAGACCCAAACTGTGGGCACTCTTTTTTTTTTGAGTCGAAGTCTCATTCTGTTGCCCAGGCTGGAGTGCCGTGGCACACTCACGGCCATCGCAGCCTCAACCTGCTGGGCTCAGGCAATTCTTCCGCCTCAGCCTTTCAAGTAACTGGAACTACAGGCATGCACTATTGTGCCCAGCTTATTTTTTTAATTTACTGTAGAGATGAGGCCCTGCCAAGTTGCCCAGGCTGATCTCAATCCCGTGGACTCAGGCAGTCCTCTCACCTCGGCCTCCCAAAGTGCTGGGATTACAGGTTTGAACCACAGCACCTGCCCAATTGTGGGCCTTCTACAAAACAATTAGTCTGGACTCCACAAAAATGTCAATGTCATAAAAGATGAAAAATATGGCAGAAGTGAGAAGCATTTTTTATCAAAGGTCATGACAATTGAAGGCAGTGTGGAAGTCTTAGTTGGATCTTGGATTTTTTTTTTATGTATAAAGGCCATTATTGAGTGCTATGGATATTGTCTGGATATTTGCTCCCTCAGAACCTTGTGTTGAAATTTAATCCCCAATGTTGGAGGTAGGGCTTAATGGGATTGGTCAGGGCCATGAGGGAGGATCCTGAGTGAATAGATGAACCCTCTCCCTTGCGGGTAAATGACTTCTTGTTCTATTAGCTCCTGGAAAAACTGGTTGTTTAAAAACAAAAAAACTGGCACCTTCCCTCTGCCTCTTGCTTTCTGTCTTGCCATGTGATCTCTGCACACTCTGGCCCTCTTTTGCCTTAGCTAAGAGTGGAAGCAGCCTGAGGCCCTCACCAGACACAGCTGCCCAGTCCTGGACTTTCCAGCTCTCAGAATCGTGAGCCAAAAAACCCTCTTTCCTTTATAAATTACACAGCCTCACATATTCTTTTATGGCAACAAAAAATGGACTAAGACACTGAGACAATCGAAAAACTTGAATACAGACTTATAATAAATAGTATTATTGTATCAATGTTGAAAGTCTTGAGAGTGAAATATGGTATTGTGGTTCTATAGGAAAATGGCTTATTCTTTTTTTTTTTTTTTTTGAGTTGGAGTCTCACTCTGTCGCCCAGACTGGAGTGCAGTGGCTGCTCCCGGACACCGCAGCCTTGACCTGCTGGGCTCTGGCGATCCTTCTGCCTCAGCCTTCTGAGTAGCCGGAATTACAGGCATGCACTACCATGCCCGGCTGATTTTTTGATTTATTGTCGAGATGAAGTCTCACTGCCCAGGTGGGTCTCGAACCCGCAGGCTCAGGCAATCCACTCACCTCAGCCTCCCAAAGGCGCAGGATTACAGGCTGAGCCACCGAGCCCGGCAAATGGCTCATTCTTAAAGATACATGGTGAAGTATTTAGGGTGATGTCATTACTTGCAAATGATTTAGCAAACAAAAAATAAAACAAATATATATATATAATATGTATATATGTACACACACACAAATGTGGTAAAGTGTTAACAAGGGTTGCATCTATCTAGGTGAAGTTTTTGTTTGCTTTTTTTATTTTTTGAGTTGGAGTCTTACTCTATCTCCCAAGCTAGAGTGCAGTGGCAAGCTCACAGCTTCATAACCTCTACCTACTAAGCTCACCTCAGCCTTCCAAGTAGCTAAGACTACAAGCATGCACCACCACTCCTGGCTAATTTTTTTATTTATTGTAGTGACCAGGCATTGCCAAGTTGTCCAGGCTGGTCTCGAATTCCTGGGCTCAGGCAATCCTCTTGTTTCAGCCTCCTTAAGTGCTGGGATTACAGGCCTGAGCCACTGTGCCTGGCCTGTGAGTGGAGAATATTCACCGTATTATTTTTTCCACTGTTCTGTATGTCTAAAAAATTACAAAACAAAGTGTTGGAGAGGGAAAAGGAAGGCAGCATAAAAAAGAGAGGCCACTGGTTATCTGGAAATGTGCCTCTGTCTAATGACCTCCAGGCCCAGCCCTGTTTGTGCAGGCAGTGAGACAGGATGGGTGTTCTGTGTGGGGGTGAGGGTGGAAGTCAACAGCGGGAGGCCTGGCAGAGGAAGGGCAACTCAGGCCCAAGGGTGCTCCCGGGTCTGAGGTGCTTGACAGGGAGCATCTAAAAATGGACACCTCTGGGAATGGGTGCCAGGGAGGGCAGGAGGGGCAGGAGGGGACCCAAGGACAAAGGTGCCCCCCTTCACTCTCCCTCTCATCACAGCCAATCAACTGTGCCTTGGTCCTTGTCCTAGCACCTGGCCTCACCTTCCCTCCACCGTGTTGTCCTCAAGGCAGGACCTTTCCCTCTCCCCCGTCTCCACCCATTCCTAAAGAGGCTCCCTGTGAATTCTCCTCACGCTGAATAGGGTAGGCCATGCCTTGAGAAGAGGGCAGGACAGGAGAAAGGACTTTGGGGACTCTCCTTCGTCAAGGCCGGGCCAGAGTCCCACATCTTGGCTCTTAGCTGGAACCTGAGGGAAAGCCAGGTGCCATGCTGCCCACAGCCAGCAGGTGGCAGACGTGCCCTTCCTAGGAGCTGGCAAGCCGAGGAAAACCAAACAAAAAGAAAGACTTTCTGGGCTGGGTTTTCAGGGAACCTGAGAGGTTGCTGCCCGGTTGTGCAGCGTGGGCTGTGCGCAGGGGGTCACAGGGAACCAAAGCAAGTCCCTCATTTTGTGACTCACTGTGTCCACCCACAGAAAGAGACCACGGTCCAATGTAGAAGCTGGCAGCCCAAACACCAGGTTGGATATCTGGGGCCCACAAAGGAAAAGCCCACAGGTTATGTATACCCCACTTCTGGATCCCTGAACTTAACCTGGATGATGGTGGGTGGGAGAGATGAGCACAATAGCTGCATCCTTTCATCTCATCATTCTATGCACTCTTTCTATGGAGACAGGAAAATGATAGAATAACCCTGACTCCTGGGACTTGCAAATCCAAAGAGGGGTAGCTCAGACCTGTAATCCCAGCTCTTTGGGAGGCTGAGGCAGGAGGATTGCTTGAGCCCAGATGTTTGAGACCAGCCTGGGCAACAAAGCAAGACTCTGTGTCTACAAAAAATAGAAAAATTAGCCAGGCACCTGTAGTCCCAGTTATTAGGGGGCCTGAAGCAGG